AGGGCGGGAGCAGGTGGGGTGGGAGGGGAGTGTGGCCGGTGTCCTGGCAGCCTCCGAGAGGTGGGTGACAGACTTTTAACTGACTTTGAGTGGCCGACGCACTCCGATTTACGGGATATTCCGTATTTAAGGCGCCACTTCAAAGCGACGCAGTCGATTCCCAACCCCTAGCTCTCTCGGCGTCTTCTTCCGCACCTTCCTTCTAACTTCTTGGGGCCTCTCTACTTCCTAGCCCCTCAGCCTCGCGATTGTTAGAGCACACGACCCACCTCCATCAGCCCGGGTCGTGAGTGGTTTTCCTCCCCGCCTTCTCCCTTGTTAGACTGGTTTGAGCACCACCATCACCCTTTTCTGTCCCGTGCTTCTCAGGGGGAGCCAGAGAGCTTTGGGTAAAGAAACCCGCCGTGACTAATCCCTGGTCCTTACGTCAGCTCCTTCGTGGCCTGTATAGTTAGGAGCAGACCTCTTTTACCTCGTGGATAATGATGCCACCACCTCCATTAATCTCTTGCTCTTCTCAGTTCAAATGCCAGGGAGAAAATAAGCCGCCAAGGCACAACTCCCATTATCCTTGAAACCAAAACAGAGACTGTCATGCAGCCGTGAGTTAGTGGAGAAAAACCCAGAGTTACAAGTATAGCACCTTTTGCTGGAACAACATAGACATTTGAGAAAAGGAGTTATTGTAACTTTAGAATCACTTTAAAGTCTTTGGTAGGTTTCTAATGTGTGTGGTGTTGTTTTTCTTTTCTTTTAACCTTTACAGAGAGAAGATTATAAATGCCAGAGCCATTTAACTGATGGTTAGCTGTTGACACTTCTTTAAATAACTTCTTGCACCAAGGTCTTCACTGGGAAGAATTCGGGGAAAAATAGCCGTGGAAAAGAGAGTCAACACTTACATGTACCATGGCTATACCTATAACAGTGCTTGATTGCGACCTCTTACTGTATGGCCGAGGCCACCGGACATTGGACCGTTTTAAATTGGATGATATGACTGATGACTACTTGATGTCCATGTATGGGTTTCCTCGGCAGTTCATTTATTACTTGGTGGAGCTCTTGGGAGCGAGTCTTTCTAGACCTACTCAGAGATCCAGGGCTATTAGCCCAGAGACACAGATCCTTGCAGCACTGGGCTTCTATACTTCAGGTTCCTTCCAGACTCGGATGGGAGATGCTATAGGAATCAGTCAGGCATCTATGAGTCGATGTGTTGCCAATGTCACCGAAGCGCTTGTGGAAAGAGCCTCACAGATCATTCGCTTTCCCGCTGACGAAGCCTCCATTCAGGCTCTGAAGGATGAATTCTATGGGTTGGCTGGGATGCCAGGGGTAATAGGCGTGGTTGACTGTATCCATGTGGCAATCAAGGCACCAAATGCTGAAGACCTTTCCTACGTAAACCGCAAAGGTCTGCATTCTTTAAACTGCCTGATGGTGTGTGACATCAGAGGGGCACTAATGACGGTGGAAACAAACTGGCCAGGCAGCCTGCAGGACTATGCTGTGCTGCAGCAGTCTTCTCTCAGTAGTCAGTTTGAAGCTGGAATGCACAAAGATAGCTGGCTGCTTGGTAAGTTTGCAAGTGGACATGCTTAATGTTGTAGCCATAGGATTATGTAGCAGAGTAAATGAAATATGGGAGTCTATAGATTTGAGTCTCTCTTCTGTCCTTTTTTGGAGACCTCAGCTAAAAACTCTTTAAGCCTAAAAACCCTTTGAGCCTTAATTTTTTAAAAATCATCTTTTAGTCCTGGCCAGTATGGCTCTGTCGGTAGGAGCGTTGTCCAGTACACGGAAAAGTCCTAGGTTCGTTTCCTGGTCAGGGTATACAAGGTAAGTTCCAGAGGCAATCGATTGATGTTTCTCTCTCTCTCTCTCTCTCTCTCTCTCTCTCTGTCTTCCCCTCTCTATTAATGAAAATATCCTCGCCCTAATCGGTTTGGCTCAGTGGATAGAGCATCGGCCTGTGGAATGAAAGGTCCCAGGTTCGATTCCGGTCAAGGGCATGTACCTTGGTTGTGGGCACGTCCCCAGTGGGAGATGTGCAGGAGGCAGCTGATCGATGTTTCTAACTCTCTATCCCTCTCCATTCCTCTCTGTAAAAAAATCAAAATATATATTAAAAAAAAAAACCATGGCTGATGCAAATGACACTTCACTTCATTTTAAAAAAAAGAAAAGAAAATATCCTCCTGTGAGGATTTTTTTTTAAAAAACCAAAATTTAAAAGGCATGTATTAAAGTTTTAAAGGCATAGTATTTGACCCAGATCATCTTCCACTTCTGTGGGTTTACATGGTCGTACGTGTTCATAAACATGAACATGGATGGTGTAAAATAAAATGACATAGAAGAACTTGCCTTGCAATAAGGTTTTTTAAAAATATATTTTTTATTGATTTTTTTACCGAGAGGAGAAGGATAGAGAGTTAGAAACATCAATGAGAGAGAAACATCAATTAGCTGCCTCCTACAGGCTCCCTACTGGGGATGTGCCCACAACCAAGGTACATGCCCTTGACCAGAATCGAACCCAGGACCCTTCAATCCACAGGCCAATGCTTTATCCACTGAGCCAAACTGGTTCGGGCACAATAGGGCTTTGTAGTTGCAAACAACAAGCCTATAAAAACAGTCCCTTAAATGCAGCCAAAATACTTATCACTATAGATTTGTTAAATAGCCATACAATTGAGCCTTCGTTTTTATTATCTGTAATACAGTGAAAATAATGCCAACAACAGTAATGCCTATTGTTAGAATTAGGCAATATATATATGAAAGTTCACCATAAAGTATTGTACAAATATATTATTTTTGCCATTGGTGATTGTCACTGTATGAAAATTCTAGTAGACAGTACACTTACATAGTTGTTATAGGAACTTCACAGATCTGCTCAGGTGTCATTGGAAAGCCTTGCATAATGATATGAGTAGAACAGGGACACATTCAATACTGAGCAGTGCAAACTGAAGTGACTGCACAGCTGTGAGTGATACCGTTAGTTAACAGTGATAAAAGCCTTGAGCCTGGCAGCTTAGTGGTTGGTTGGTTTTTATTTTATTTTTCTAGTATTTTTATTGATTTTTAGAGAGGAAGGGAGAGGGAGAGAGAAACAGAATCCAAGAGCGAAACATCATCGGCTACCTCTTGTACGCCCCACCAGGGATCCTAGCCTGCAACGAAGCCATGCATCATGACCAGGAATCGAACCAGTAACCCTTAGGTGCACAGAATGACACCCTACCAACTTTGCCATTCTGAGCAAAGTGGTTGATTGGTTTTAAAGTACTACTCTGTCTCTAGCCAGTTTGGGTCAGTGGATAGAGCATCAGCCCACGGACTGAAGGGTCCTGGGTTCAATTCTAGTCAAGGGCACGTACCTTGGTTTCAGGTTACCAGGCTCTGATTGAGGCGCATGCAGGAGGCAACCAATCGATACATCTCTTTCACATCAGTGTTTCTCTCTCTTCCTCTCCCTTCCACTCTCTCTAACAATCAATGGAAAAATATCCTCAGGTGAGGATTAACAACAACAAACTAGTACTACTCTGATGTGAGCAACAAGACAAGGATTATCTTAATGCGACATACTATGTGAGAGATAATAAGATATATTAGGATTGGAAAACCTCTCTTTCAAAACCATCAATCATATCTGCACTGTACATGTTTATAACAGTGATTAGCATGTAATAAACAGCACTTCTCTTTAATGTACAGTGCAGATAATGTGATTACTGGTTCATAAAAGAGAAACCTCTCATGTTCCAAGTGTGAAGAGACTGTCACACTGATTGGTTTAGAGCTTCCAGGGTGCCATGTGTAACATCTTGGAACTTCCATGATTTTTCTTGAGTTGTTGATTCCGCATACCATTTGCCATAAGTGTACAACCTTCTCTTTATTGGACCTTTATCTTAATCCCCGTGTGCCAACTTTTAACTTTCAAATTTTATACAGCTCACACCAAGAAGTGAAGGAAAGTCTGTATTGCAAGTGTCTCATTTAGCTACTTCTTCCATAGTTATGGGAGTTCTTGGGTCCTAAGCTTATTCTTATTAATTCACTTTGGTATCCTAATTATAAAGCCAGCTAAAATTTACTGAGCATTTAGAATTTGGCAGGCAATTTTGTAAGCACTTTGAATTCGATTAGCTTACTTAATCCTTATAACAACTCATAAGGAGTTAAATTCTAATATTAACATTTTTACAGATGAGGAAATTAAGGCACAGATAATTTAAGTCACTGTGTTTAAGTTTTCAAACTGGATTATATGAGGAGTTAGTCTATTTGGCAAATATTCCTTTTTTAAGGGCTTTAAGGTTATATAGGGATTATTGATTTTCTTTCCCTTCACACCTTGGTACCCCAGATTGATTTGGAATTATGGCTTCATAGTAGTTTTTCGAGACATTTACAGGAAAGTTGAAAATAAGTAAAAACTCTGACAAATTTTTATATACTTGTCCAATTCCCCCCTTAATAGGAAGAGTGGAAGTGGGAGAGATGGATACTGCAATAGCATTTAACAAATGAAGACCAGTTTTGGTACCAGGCCACATGCTAGGGCACTAAGGATGGGGAAAGCAGACCCATATGGAAATTTATTCCCTTAGTACTATACACATACCCTTTGGAAAGCCTCCATGAGCTCTAACAGGAAAACTAGTTTGAAGACTCTTGAACTAGTATAGTGTTTCTCAAATTTTCCAGATTGAAAGAGTCATCTTGGAATTTACTGAAAATGTATATCACTGAGCTCCACTTTAAATTTTGGAAATAAGAATCTTCAAGGCCCTAGCCAGTTTTCTCAGTGGCTAGAGCAGCGGTTCTCAACCTGTGGGTCGCGACCCCTTTCGGGGTCGAACGACCCTTTCACAGGGGTCGCCTAAGACCATCGGAAAACACATATGTAATTACATATTGTTTTTGTGATTAATCA